TGGCAAGGCATCATTTCGAATTAATTGTGATTCGCTAAACAAAGCAACAAATGGAACCATCTCAATTCCACTTCTGAGTCATCACTGCGTATGCGCATCATAATTTTTCGCCATGCAATTATGTGTGCATAAAATGTTAAAGTTAAATTATAATAAGATGAAAAATAAAAAAAAAATTAATAAAATAAAAAATATAATAAAAATGAAAACAACTAATGATAGTCGTTGAGAGAAGCGACAATGAAAAGGGAGTAATAGCACTCCATTTGTATGGAAACTCCGTCAATTCAAAGAGGATTTCGCTGTGGCTCTTCACTCTATGGCTCCAACTCTAATTGCAACAAGTGTATATAACCGTTTATGGTTTATGCTTCATGTTTGCTGCTATTTATGTATTCTATATATGATAAGTATATAATTATATAGATGTATATATAAATATACATTGCATACAAAATGTCTAAGTAAGAAACAAATTATGCAAACGTCAACGAGACGTGACGGCGCTTAAGTTAAAAACGTCAAAGAACTCGCGTTGAATTACAAAACAAAAGTTTTTTTAAATTGAATGAAATGAGTTTTTAAAATGAAAATCTTTTTTGAAAAAAAACCAACAAATACAAATGATAAATTGCAGAGTTTAACAGAAAAAATATATTAAAATACAAACACACTCGTTCGTATATATATTTGAAAAGTTGCTTCAAACTGGGTTACTGCAATTTTTTTACATTTTGCTTAACGTTTTTGCTTAAGTACTAAAAATATTCATTTAGGAAAGTGTGGGCTTTAAAGTAATTTATGGTTTGTTTATACAAATTTATTAATTTTTGAAAGTAAACTAAATACTTAATGCTCCAATTGTAAAATATATTTCATAAACTAACTTCATATCTTGATAATTGCACTTGAAAAAAGGTGAGCTCTATCTAGTTTCTCGAATCCTTTTTAATGTATTGGTTGCACTGCCAGTAACATAAGAGTGTCAAACAGTTAGTTGAGAGTGTCAAATTGTTTTTATGTGTTTTGTACACAAACCGAATAGGCGTATATATAATACGCCTATAATACTAATATATAGATAATACTAATATATAGCAGCGGTACATAGCTAATATATATACTGAGCAAAATGTAGCGATGTACCACTTGCCATGTATCCTAATAATGTTTTGTGCAGTAAAATTTAGTATCAATGAACTTATGATGTTATTAGGTACAAATGTTATTAGAACAGTCGAGAAAATATTAAACAGATTATTCGTATTAATATTATAGAATCATTTATCATTAGTAGAAAAGAATACTGAAGAAATAGGATCGTCATAGGACTAAAGCGAAGTGAATTGTACAAATTTGTTGCGTATTTATTGTTAGAATTCATATATTCAACTATTAAATAAAATCATAGTAACTCCATAACCTCTATATAAAGTTAGGCTACGTTGCTACTTTTTTTCTAGCTCAAAAAGATACTCAAAGGATTTTTTTCAATGATTGATAATATACACGTGAAATCGCAGGCCGTAGATCATAGTGTTCGATCCTGTTCTCAAGGTATAGTGATATAAATAAATGACTTTTTGAAAAATTGAAATTATTTTCACTTTTTGGGGACTTTTAAAATCCAATTTTCTGATTTCTTTTTCTATGTCATTGAGTCTTATAGTAGCGCTAACATCTTAAACGAATAACTCATTTGATATTCATTATGAGTTTTGTTTTGTTCATAGATCACAAGTCTCTTTGTTTAATTTTATTTATAAAGCCACAATTTTGGGTGTACAATGAATTGGTGATCATTTTTATCTCGTTTGCTAGATGGTCCAATGGTTTCAAGAAAATCGTTTAATCAATATGTTATTATAATTTAATTTTCTGATTAGTTATTTCAATGGTAAATAAATAAATAAAATAAATAAATAAAATAAATAAATAAAATAAATAAATAAAATAAATAAATAAAATAAATAAATAAAATGCAGGAGCAATTATATTTTAGGTGAAAACTTTCCTTCTTCAACTGTTATTTGGACCTACAATCCAGTGTGAACCTTGGCCTCCTTCGCAACCTACCTCCATCTGCTTCGATCTTGTGCAGTTGTTTTCAATTCAGAACTTAGAGCTTTCTGACGTCCACGTACACATTTTCCTTCCATCTCAGCCATGGTCTGCCTCTGTGCCTTGTTGTCAATGCATTAGCATTAAATATATTGGCCGGATTTCTTTCAGGTCTCATTCTTGTAACGTGATTGCATTTCATTTTAAAGCAGGTTATCAATTTCGTTGTTTGTTCATCTTCTGAATGTCTCGTCGTCCGTTCTAATAGGGCCATATACTTGTCGAACCTAATGGAGTACACGCCTGGTAGAAGTAGGGCGAAAACTTTTATTTTATTTCCATCAAGAAATCCATTTGGATTTTAATTATATAGTTGATATATGTCATTGTGAGTCTTATTGCTATTTGGGTATTGAAAAAAGTGAGGCGATCGTTTATTTGAAAGAACTTGCTTATTATATTGTCAAATTGGAAGTCAGTTTTATTTTTTTCAATGTTAGTTATCAATATTATTAAACTATTATTAACAAAATATAAGTTTATAGGAAATTGTTTTTTATTTTTTTTTTTTTTGATTTGATATAAGTTTTTATTTAATAATCATAATCATTAAAGTATATTGACAATACAAAAGATACATAGGTATATCATTGAAACTAGTAGACATTATAAATTTAGCACTTTATTTAGCTAGTGTTAATTGAAATTTTGTATATTTCTTATAAAAATTTAAACTATTTTTCATAATTAAATCAATTTCTACTTTGCCTGCTTTTAGAAACATGAACTATTTTCGTCAAATTGCTAATTAAGTTTGTTTTAAATTTAATTAAATTGTTTTTTTTTTTGTAAGTTTACTAAATATTTTGTAAATTTTTTTTTTTTGGTTGACAAAATTCCGTAAAATTGCAAAAGCAGACCAATAAGTGTTAACATTTCATGCATATCATAGCAACAGTCATCAACTTCAACAGGCAGCCCAGCCACCAAACTAGCAACTGTCGGAGTCGAAACGAAAAAGTATCTTCAAAATTTTGCTCTTGGCACTGACTTCCATTAAATGCAGTCACTTGATGGATGCTCTTGACGTTAGTTCGTGCAGCTTTCACAGTTAATAGATCTCAAGTAGCGTTTATATTGCACAAAGTACATAAGCCATTTCGCAAAATGTCCTAATAAAACCATACCTAAAAAATATATAAAAAAAATAAATAAAATTTGAAATATATCTTCGTAAAAAATTTTTGTTGCAAAAAAATTTCTATAGAGAAAAGCATGCCACAAACTTGACATGAGAAAGTGCAGCAGAACTACAATAGTGAAATAGTGAAATTCAACAGAATGTGCAACAACAGCAATGACAACGTGAACCATATTAGCAATATATATCCATATCATCCTCCACATTGTTCTTATTATAGTTGTTGAGCAAGCAAACCAACTGGCCAATACAGTAGCTTGTCGTAGTTGTCATACTGTGTCGTTGTTGTCATGTTTATCGTGTTTGTCGTGTCTATCGTGTCTTGTCTGCGGGCAACATGCATCCATCCAAACGGCAGTCGATCTAACCAGCAGATATTGCCTTGTTCTAGCCTTCATGTAGTCACTAACCTGACGATTATGGAGCAAAGAATTTGCAGTGATGTTGCAATTCGCATTGAATATTTACATTTGATGTAACGAATTTCATGAACTGCTCGTCTTTGCTATTGGCAGCGAATTCGTGTGCCTACACGGATGCACCTACAGTTGCGGCCTACTATGTGTAAAGATAGCCAGATAAGTGCGTCTAAATGCATTCATACACTTTTGCACAATTTATGCATCATGGCTGGCTAATATAATTTACATTTTCAATTTCAAGTTCGCACCGTGGCAGGCAGCGTTCCTGATATACCACAGTTGTCACGGCTCTTGGCATTACACTGTACTTTTTGAAGTGTAAATTTCATTTTCACTTTGGCGACATTGTGTAAAATAAAATTTTAAAAATAAATAAAAATATTTAAAATATCACAATAATATTTCATAGTTCATGTTTATGCATTTGACCGTTATGTTAAATGCTATGCCAGCTCAACTGTGATTGATGTGCTCGCCAAGTTTAGTATTTGTTGCCAAAAGTTAAGCTGCAAATGACACTGTGACTGTGTGACTATAGAAGTGACATCTCGACTGGAACAATACTAGAAAATAATATTTTTAGTTTTTACAAATAAAGTTTTCACAATTTTAGTTTAGGGAAGTGTTTATCGGTGACACATGAATTTTCACATTTTACGCCAATTTTGGGCGCCTTTTTGGGCGTTGGCGTAGAACGTATTTTAGCATTTTCTTCGTAAATAAAAATAATACTGTAATAATAAAAATAAAATAATAATTGCTAAAATAAAATTTTATTATTTATGTACACAGTAAATTTTAATTTATTTTATACCGCATTATCGACCTTAAAAATTTAATATTAAGTTATATTTTATTGAAAGTATGAATTTGAAAGAAAGATAAATATTAGAAGAACACATTTTTTTTATAAAAACTAAATACAGTCTTTATATAAATCGCTATAATACAATAAAAAAAGTATCATCACCAACAAATCAATCGTTCTAGTAGTGTTTTTACACCGATAAAAAAAATCATTTGACATAGAAAATATTGCGACTCTTATAATAATCGTAACTGTCCACTCATTTGATCCTTTCTTCTACTTCTACTTCTACTTCTTTTATTGAATTACTAACTTACACTGTTGTTTATAGATATTACCAAACTAGCATTTAGTGATTATAGTTTTTTAGAGTACAGGGTTGGCTATATTAGGTGGGGTCATCTGATAAAACTGTAACTTTGACAAGAAATGTACGAATATTTAATAATCGCATCTGTTTGAAACGTCAGTCTTAGGAAATCTTTGCCTCAGAGCAATATATATCATTATGAGTGATAAGGCACACTGTATGGTAACCAGAATCATAAAAACACTAACTGTCTGCTATACGACTTGCAAACCCTCAAATAATTGTAAAAACCACCACTTTACTGCCAAAAAGTGAGACTGTAGTACGTAATTGTGCTGATATGATTATCGGACCATATTTTAAGACACCAGTGGTGCAGCAACAACCTTACTGACAGGTAACACACCTGATACGATAACCGATTTTTTAACGTCGGTTGTTCATGAAAATGGTATGCTGGTAATTTGACTGGTCTCTGCGTTCGCCCGATTTCACACCGCCAGCTTTTTTCCTCTAGAGCTACTCAAAGTCAAAGGTTTATAACGACAAGTCGAGGACGCTGGACGAATTTAAAACAACATTTGTTGAAAATAGCCACCATATGGATCGAAACATTTGAACATACGAATAGCAAATGGAAAAATCCGGGCGCATTACACGATTCGAGCTAAAGGTGTTCATTGGCGGATATAATCTTCAGATAGTGATGTTAAACTATGTTAAATGATTTTTAATTAGTGTTAAATAAGTGATTCCACCTCATATAGCCAACCCTGTATAAATATAGAATATAATGCTTACAAGTATAGATACTAACAAAAAAAATTGCACCTAATATAATCTTAAGTTAAATACAAGGTCAAGGTATGCTTATAGTTCAATGATCTTTTCCATTCTCTGTTTGTTTTCGGATTCAAGTTGGAAGTTTTTATTATCTTCTTTTGGCATTACTTATAAATGTCTGAATGCCGTATAAATATCGTTTGTTTGATATTTTACAGATGACTGGGTATATAAATATATATGCCTACTAAAGAAAATCAATATAAGCAATTTAAACTCAAAATTACTGAGGAAAGATCGGAAAATCCAATTCAATTATAAATAGAAAATTCTGCAAATTTTATTTGTATACTGAATGATCCTAAAAAAATAAATGAAATATCACATCTGGTTTTCTATACTAGACAAGGTCTATACAATAAAATATTGCCTGCTGCGTGCTGAATATTGTTTATAGACAATAATTAATTAATTAATTTTCTTTCAATGAAATATTTTCCTTTTTTTTAATAAAACTAAAATTAAAAGTAAAACCATTTATTTTTTTTGATTTTGATAAAGCAAAAATATATCACACATTTTTTTTAATATGTTTTAGTGTAAAAATAATTACTTTTGTTTGTGAAAAATGAGCATATATTACACATTATAACACAGAAAATCTATTATATTTTAAAAATAATTTTTAATTTGAAATTAATTTTTCCTCTAAATTTATTTTCTTTTTTAGCTGAAAGCGACCTCCTAACATTTGCACAGCGAAAAACTCATTACAACAGCGACAAATCACATTGCAAAGAACTCTTCACTGCCATCACACGACCTCGTAGTGTACGTGTGCTCTATGAGGATGCGGCTAAAGTGTCATCAGTCTCCTCAGCTGCAACATCACCGCGCTCAAAATCATTTGCCATGGATGGCAATGCTAATGGCGTTGATGGTCTGGTGGATATAACTGGTACAGGTGCTACAACAGCTGCTGGCAGCGATGAACTGGTTTGTACTCCTGTATTTGGTAAAGCCCATCGCAAGATGCAAACCCGTATCGATGCTGAAATTGAAATAAGATTGGTAAGTATAAAAATTAATACAAAATTCAATAGAAAAAAAATTTAAATGTGTTCAGCATTAGAGTGTAGCGACACTGTACACCACGATTGTCAGTTGTGCTGTGCCGCATGCAATAAGCCGCATTGCAGTATACAACACTGCCATTCCAATTCCGTTTCATTTAGACATACTAACAACCATTTTTAGTTTTCTTGATTAGAATTTATGGTTTGTTAACGGTTCTAATGATGCATTCTGTAGGCACATAAAAAAAATATTTTACCAATTATGGTTGACAAGTATCTCTGTACAATATTAGCATATATGGAAAGTAGCACTGTGTGATTTAGTTGTTTGGAGGCATTGGAAAAAAATTGATTTTCAGATTTTTCAAACAACTTTTTTTAAGTTGAAGAAGTTGTTTGAAGAACTAAAAAATTGTGAAGTATGAAAAGAATCTCGTACCCTGTGTAACAAAATATATAGAAGAAGCAATATATAGAAAAAGCAATGACAATTGTAACACATTGGGCCAACATTGCTTTATTAATGGTAAATTTTGAACAAATTTTCCCACTTCTTCTTCTGCTTCATTTTAGCTATAGCTAAAGTACAGCCTTATATTCTTTACACACAATTCTACAGTTCTAACGATTATTTTAAAGTCATTGACATCAAATCGTTTTCTATTAGTTCTCATTCTATTAAGCAGCGCGTTGAGGGCCTTTTAGTCGTTGACACCAACTCGTTTCGTATTGGTACTCATTCTATTAAGCAGCGCGTTGAGGGCCTTCCAACCGTTATTCCAACTTGAAGCACCATTTACATGACATTATCAACTCATTATCTATAACTTCATTTTGACTTCCAAGTTAAAATATTGTAACAAAATCAAAGTTTATTTTATTTTAATACCAACCTGCTTCCACTCATACGCGACCAACACTTCTCTTCGGGGACTATTGTTCCACTGTGCATCTTTGGTTATCGAACTTTTTCGCTTTAAGATCAAGATTTTGCATCTACAGATAAGTAAAGGACTATTAATGATCACGTATTACTTAATATCTATTAAGCAATCTATTTAGCAATAGTAATAAATTAACAAAGATTAACAATGTACTATTCAAATAGTAGGATGTTTAAAACAAAAAAAATTTTTTTCTGGAATATTTAATGGACGGTCATTTGATGATGAACATAACAAATTACACATGTTAATTAGTTATTTTAAAATTGTAAAATTGTAATTCGCAATGTATTAATTTTGTCTTGACTGATATGAAAACCGAAATAATCGTCGAGGGTTTTTTCATTTAAATCACAAATGTTCTTATTATGTCAATGTTTTCGGGTTATGAAAAGTCTTGCAGCTTAGATTATCCGATTTGTGATTCTTAGAACCGTTTTCAAAGAAAAAAAACTTGTTCGATGCTTGTACTATAATGTTTATTTCATTAGACTTTTCAAACTCTATTATTGCATCTTATATTTAGAGATTTACGATTTTTAGAACCTTTCCTAAAGGAAAAATCAACAGTGGCGAATTAAAGGTCCATCACCCTATCAGACACTATAGAATGTATTAGTATATTGTTGTCATCGGTCCGTATAGAACCTTGTAATTGTAGCTCCGATTTAGAGATTTGCAATTCTTGGAACCTCTTCTAAAGCAATAATAAACAATAATGAATTGTAAGTCCATCACCTTGGAGGTTGTTTCAGGACTATAAATTGGAGATATCGATTTTGTCTTTCTTTTTATTTTTTGGAATCTTTTGTAGTCACCCTCTCTAGTTTCATGTGCTTACATGATGAACAATGCGGTTTATACTGTTTCATACAAAAATTATATCTTACTAAATTACTAAATAGTTTTTATTTTACTCTAAATTCAAATACTTTATATTGTGCAATTGCATTTTAATGTAAATTGAATAAATGACTATATAAATTGAAGGATCAGACTCACATCGTAAAAGCATCAGATATAATTTCTTCTCATTATTGTACTCCTTAGTTTGCTTTTATGCGTATATAAATTCTAGATTTATGTATGGTATATAGGTATATACAAATATATTTACTTACATATATATTTGTTCATACGTGCTGTATTTTCTTATTCATAAAAGTTTTAAACTTTTTGCTCATTCCCCATTCCCTATCAACAATCTGAGCAAATCTCTAACATAACTCCCATATCTCAATAAATTTCCACTGTCATAACAATTGTTAATGATTGTTGTTTACTTGTTCCTAAATGACAAGTTCCATTGTTTTTGCACGTCCCGCACTATTAATGGATCCCAAAGCTACGACTACCAAAAAGTTTTATTGCTTCAATTTTACTCGCATTTCATTCATGCATTCATTCATACATTCATGCATTCATTCATTCATTCATTCGTGTTTTGCTTTTTAGCTGCCACAACTTTGATGATAAAAGACTATATTTTCGCATAAATGTCTCCGATATTTAATAATGTAATTTGAGTGCCCCACGACCGCAAGCTGCTCCAGCTCCAAAGCTGTCGGAGAAATTACTGCAGAGCTCTTTCGTATCAAAAGTGACTAAAATTTTTTCATATCATAATTTCCTTGTTGTTTTTATTGTTGCTTTTGCCATTAGCCATAGTCATTGTGGCAATGGTTTTACTGCTCTCGAATGCCAGCGCATCGAATTCACTCCAAGCAGTCTAACGTCATCGAGCGTTGGTACTGTGAAAAGGATTAAAAGTCATTTTATTAAAATATCGTCAACATGAAATAAAAATAAAAATCTACGAACTTCACTTCAGCTTTCACACTTTGGCTGGCGATACGCTCTTTTACGGTTTCAGAAAATCAGATGCCGCAAGGCATGTCGAAATTGTTACTGAATGAATCTGAAGTATCATTGATTGCACAATTTACATACCAGCAATTTAATTTATTTTATTTATATTTGTGAATCTGCGAATCTGCCAGAGTTGCGGTTACAATTTATCTACACAGTTATCTTTAGCTAGTGGTTTTTAGATAAACTATAACATGTAGTGTTACATGCGCTCATTGTCAATAAAATATGGTTGATGGTTGCTCTTAGGTTAGATGATTGTACAGGATAATTGATTCAGTATGCTTGGGTGGGAACACAACTTTAATAGCATAAATTTAAAATTATTCTATTCTATTAATATGTAAAGATATATAGATTTAAAAAAGCTGTTTTACATGCCTGAAGACTTAAGATGTTGCTATGAAAAGTTTTATGAGATTTGCTTAATAACTGCCTAGTTTGCATATTAAGAATGATTTAGACTACATATAATAGATTGATTGATAGAAAAAAGATTCTTTTTGCTGAACTCTGTATGAATGTTTAATAATTTTATTGCGTTTATCACAAGTGTTTATTGAAAAATATCCATAATAAACTTTGTTATTGTTTCGAGATTAGAAAAGATTGAGTTATATTTAGAAAGTATTAAATTTATAGTCTAAATTAGTAGGGAATGTAGAAAATGTAAACGACAGCATGCAGAAAAAGTGTTTAGCTCTAACATTGTACACACAAAGCAAAACGATAACAAAACACAAACAACACAAGTTAAATCCGATCACCAAATATTCAGCACACAAAGAAATCCAATATACGCTTTCAGTAAATATAAGATTTCTCCTATGCTAACGTCGAAAACATAAATTTTATTAATTACGTATTTCTACTTCGGCACGAATAATATATATTTTCCATAACTTAGAATGGATCACTTGATTTCTTACAGCACACCTAATTTAGCTACAAGAGTATTTCCACTGATATTGCCACTTCATTTTCAATTCTTGACTATTTACTACACTGGACAACCAAAACGACTGATAACTAACAGCTTTTGAGGTGACTTCTTCTTTCAACGACTAAAAACCTATTGAGATTAACTATTAAACTGATTTACAATAGAGAGGACAATAGACAATAAAGAGAAAATTGAGAATTTTATAGGCTTTTATTATATACGACGTCTTCCTTACTATATTATAAATATTCTTGTAAATTTCCATTACGTATTTGTCAAATACTAAAACTTGTACACTTAGTCTTTCGGAATGCTTTAACATACTTTCGTCAGATGACGAATATAGAACACCTTTCCATCTTACCGTTAAGGTGCAAATATATGCGACAACTAGCAGGTGACTTAATTTGTCAACTTGTGTTACTGGACTAACACTGACTGTATCTGACTGTATTCTGAAAGTATATAAAAATGCATCTCGACATAATACTATTGCAGGAGAGTTTTACCAGTAACCCACGTTACCTTTATTGCCGTAATTCCGACTATGCTACGGCCCTGTCCTTTTTGGTCCTCTTATAAAAAAATTAGTTTTTGTTTTAATATCACACAGCAAATACTCATATCTCACAAATTATCTTATATAATTTACAATTAGATTCTAACAGAATTATCTATACTCTATCTGTAGCTCTTTAGCTTTCCTAAACATTTTTATGAATCCTATTTGCTCCATGCAGTTTTGTAAGTTATAACTGTGACAATATCTTTAGCGTTTTATTTTTTTTTTTTTTACAGTAATGTAGACAACAATTAAACGGACTTACGGTCTCCAACTGCATATGTAGAAGCTGTAAAAGTCACACAATGAAGTAAACGTTAGTTGAAGACAGCCGAATTGTTTGTCTGTCTGAACATGTCTAGTTTTTCTCATATTTTTTATTTCATCTCATAAAAGTTTACAAGAATTTCTTTGAAGCTGTTTACGTAGCTAAGCAATTGGCACAGAGTGAGTCCAAGTTTTGAGAGGAACTTGCATTGAATGCCGCATAAAGTTGTGTAGAATGATTCGCTTTGGACGCTACTCAACATATCTTTTCGTTCGGCTCGTCTGTTTGTCTGTCGGACGGACGGACGAACTGCGCATTAGTTAGACCACACATTACTTCTATGAAAGTTGCCGAGTTATTAAGCGTATTATTTATGACCCTGAGATTAAAGTCGACAAAATGTCGTGTACAACGTACCACATATGCCTGCACTACCTACAATAGATTTGTGCGAGTATAAGTGAGTATCTGTGTGAGTGTATCTCAGACTCGTGTGCTTCAAGCTTGTTGCATAAATTATGTGTCGCGTTCTAGCCGTTAGTTAAATGTTACTTGACTTTTTCGTTTAGTCAGAGTAAATCTCAACTTTAGCTAGGCTTTGCAACATGCCACTTAGGCAAACTGCTTGCCTTGTTATTTATTGCAAATAAAAATACTTGATTTCGACTTGATTTATTTTCCATTTTGCCTTTATTTGTAGCTTAAAATTGTTTTAATTACATTTTGTTCCACTTTTATTACTTCAATTTACTTGATTGAATTTGTTTTTTTTTGTGTTTTTTTTTGCATACTGTGCCATTTTTTGCTATAAATTACGATTTTCATTGAATCGAAAAAGGTTCCTTAATCCGAAAATGTTAAAGAGTTGCGAGTGTACCGCCTACCTACCGACACTTTTCCTTTGTGAGCTCAGCAGTGAAATGCTCATTCACGTTATCGCGTGACTTTGGTAAATTTTTGAAATGTTTTGAAAGCATTTCAAAGGCATTTCTCACGTTAATAATTTTTTTCATGCAATTCTATGTTTATTTGATTTCAGCTGATAAGGTTTCTAATATGCCTTTAGCGTCCTTCTGCCGCAGCTACTGCCCGCATGTATGACGGCACGGAAGGAGCAGCATAACAATTTCATTTCCTACTCCTGAAATGCTGCTCGTCTATGCTTGCTACCGGCTGAACATGACCTTTCCCTTGTACTTCACACCAACATTGTTTGCTTGATTAATTTCCGCCAGTGTCAGCGGGGTTAGTTTTCCCAATGCCGGTCCGAGTCTAAATTTACGTAACCTTTTCATGTTCCATGGCTTAGGTTGCGTTGTATCGAAGGCTTTCTCGCTAAATATTTTTCATATAAACGATACAATATAATTAAAACATAAGGACTGACCAGAAATGCGTTGAAATGTTTAAAATTTGCATGTCACTTAAATTAATTATACTTTTATCTAAAAAATCCAAAGAAATTTTATGCTTTCTATTTTATATTTTGCCTTGGGGAAAAATTTTGTTTAATTACATTCCTCACGTTATTTGCAACATTTTAAATAAACACTAATTGTTTTATTGTTATGTACTTTTAAAGAATTTTGATAAAAACAGTTCATTTGTTTTTTTTTTCTTCACTCTATTTAGCCTGCCGCCATTGAAGAATTGCGCAAATGGACATCCACTGAAGCATTGGGTGATGTCACTGTAACGCCAGATTGCATGCATCATGTGGATACTTCTATTAGCACATCCGTCATAATTGGTGATAATGGTGTACTGACACCAGCACTCTCTCCGTCCGTGCTATCTGCTGATGCTGTAGATGCGCTCTATTCCATAAATGTTAGTAATGTCGTCGATAATTCCCAAATTCCTAATGACATAAACAAAGATGTGCCTTTAAATCATCGATTGCCTTCTCCTGAGGAGCAATGTAAAATTATAGCTTTAAGGTAAGTCAACATATATAGCATTAATTTCAAACAATAAATAAATGGTCAGTTTCTAATTAATTGATTTTAAAAAAGTATATACACAATAAATTTGAAGCGAATTTATTGCTTATATAGTGATTAGTTAAATATTCTAATACTTACAGAGGGCAGATTAAGTTCTGGTGATAATTCCAGGAATGCACTTAGGTCTGTACTCTGTTCTACTGTTTATAGATCATGCTGATTCCATTGTGTTACCGTATAAAATGTGTTACCGTTTTAAATCAATTTGAAACCTTTAAAGAAACCCAAAATGCGCTTTTAAAAAGTGGTTTCAACTGACATATATTATCTAGAAAATAAACTCTTAGTATGTTTAATCTGCGTTACACATAAACTGTTGAATAACCTAAAGCACTTTTTTTGTTCTATTCAAAGCTGTTGCAAGACGTAGTTATGAAAATACTCGTACTCCTAAACAACAGCATTTATAACACTATATTTATCACACGTCTTAAACATCATGTACTTATTTGCTCTTGTCAGTATTTTTTATGTATTTGTTACTGCTTCGGTTGTCCATCATTATTACGAAGGGTCTCGCAAAAGTTCGTTAAGTTATCAAAGCAGAATAAATTTAAGACATCAAAAAAATGCTTCTTGATTTGGCGTAGTATAACGATATTAAATTTAAAGTTTTTCAGCAATCATAATAAAGAGTCGATTCCAACGCCATCATAACAAGAGATTCGGTTTCGATTCTTAATAGATTGTGGCATACTCTCAAACCTGTAGAAATATAAGAGTGCCAAACAGCATATAGACAGCATGTACCATCGTTTGTGACTGTCTCGACGTGGCTTTAAAAATTCTAGCAGGACAAATCTCGCAATTGTCGTCCAAAATTTACAAATAATGTTAACGCCGTTCTGGTAAAGTCCAGAACTAATGAAGTTTCAACATAGATGTAGGAAATAATTGCTGATAAACTATATTGGCATAACAGCTTTGAGAATATTAAACAATCATTTTGGATACAAATAGATATCAAGATGATGGATTTCTCGAACTTTAACTGAAAAGAGGTACATGTGCTATACTCTTTAAAAAATTTTAAAAGTTGAATTATCTTCAAATAAGTGATCAAGCTTAATTTTAGAAGTTAGATCCAGACACAAACTAATAACCGATTGTTAAAGCTAGGCTATAGAAATCAGTTACAAAAGTAATGATGTTAATTTACTTGACCAGAAGAAAATTGTAGGTGTTATTTTTCTAAACACTGGATTTATGGTTTCAGAAATTTGTTGAGGAATCAGAGAAAAATGTACTGCACCGATTCTTTCTGAAAAACAATAATACGTCAGCCCACAGTATTAAAAAACTAACAACTTCATTGCGATTTCAGGAATTAAAGAAAATAATATTAAAGGATTATCCTAATCCTAATCCAGTTAATTTTAAAGTTTCAAACCTAAAATACCAGATTTTGAAGACTTTTTGAAAAAGTAGAATTACCGTCTTCAGAAAAACATAAAAATTTAGTGGTAATTATGGTATACAAATCATAATGAAGATTTAAATTATAAAATTAAAATTATTTTAATCCAATTTTTTTAAGACAACTCAAAAAAAATTTTTATAAATCCCCTCGTAGCTATAAATTAAGTGCGTTAAAACACATTTTAAATATGAATCTAATGCACATTAAAGGGTTTTGATTTTATTTTACTTTAGCAATGATTCATTAATTTTGGTACTTTTTTTATAAAAATCGTGTGACCCTCATTTATTGTGAATTGGGTTTATACACTATTTGCAAATATTTCTCAATCCCCACAATACTGGACTTGAAAGTTTATCTTGAATACATAATATAAACGAACACATTCTCATTTGTGATAAAATTACTCATTTTTTTATTTAAACTATTTTATTTTTTTTTTTGAAATATGTATATTATTTTTTGAGAGTTGCAATATAAAATTTTAGAACACTCTATTTAAGGGACTTAATCTATTTTATTAAGAGTTACTATAGCGGAATAAATATAATTCAAAACAAGATATTGAAATAATTTAAAATTTTTTTAATCTCTAAAATTGTTTAAAATTGAAACCGCCATCTAATATGTAGGCCAAGAATATACTTGGCCTGTATACTTCTGAGAAGCAGGTCAGTAATATTAAGTCTACGCACTTGGTTGCCCTAAATGAAAGTTATTAGAATTAATTTTTTTCTCACCAATAAATAATTATTATATTGCTCATACCCATATATGTTAATCTTTAAAGGACTACTCTAAAATGATTGACTTATTTTTACATCTTGTAACTTATATACCAAGTTCACAGTTACCCGTCTTGGATCCCCACCAATTTCGGCGAAACCAGCAAGTAAAAAGCACACTCTATATGTTAGTAAAATGCCAACACTGAAAAATTGAACCTAAAAAAATTTATGATTGGGTGAAATAAGGATGTAATATATATCTATGTGAGGATAGAAAATGAAACAATCCTTATTATTGTAAATTTGCTCTCATGTAAAGACGGCGTTAAAAATTGACTTCAACAGTGCTATCAATAGAAAAAAAAATGTCTATAGCCGTTTCAAATAGAAGTCATTTACATTACATATATGGGATTTTAGATTAATTAATTTAAATTAAAAAAACATCAGACATAAGGGGGAAACCCATGATTTTGAATCCTTATTGTATATAATCTCTTCAAATTTTTCATGTTTTACTATATTTATATATAGTAGCATTGTAAACTTAAATTTGAATATATGCGGAGTACAATATATACTTTATATAATTATGTATATAGTAAGGTGCAATATACAATCAAAATATATTTATTACCTTACATTACAAACTCTCACTCCAACAGTAATTATCACAAATTTTTGTATAAATATATAAGAAATATTAGTTATATCTGAGACGACTACTTGATAGCTTTCTAGCTTAAATTTAAACTAACTTAATCCGGCTGAATATAGGGTATAGAGTGATTGCGCCGCTTATGATTAAATAATATTACGCCATCCACACTCTCTTTGAGGAAAAATTTTATTTTAAAACTGATATTACTTTTAATATATCGTGTGTAGCTACTTGACTTGAAAGACACGATGTTTTATAAAAGATTTGAAATAATACAAGTTATAATATTTTTAATTTTTTGGAATTATTTACTACCAACGAATTCTAAAAGAGTTCACATAACATGTCAAAAATCTCAAATCAATGGAAAAAATATTTGTAAGTCAACTTGCGCAGGTGGTTGTGAGGACGGCTACTGCACCCGTAGCGGCATATGTATATGCCCCAAGGATTTTATTAATCAAAACGGAAAATGTGTTCCGAACTGCTCTAAAGGATGTCCTGTCAATGCCATTTGTGTAGCAAAAAATCAATGTCGCTGCAGTATAGGTTATGAGGAATTTATCTATGATTTTAAAGAAGGACCAATTAGAGTTTGTGAGGCAAGATGTATTCCAGCTTGTGGAAGATTTTCTAAATGCGTAGCTCCGAATAAGTGTGACTGTAACGATGGATATATACAAGATGTAAAGTCTAAATCATGTAAACCATTTTGTGAAAAATGCGCAGAAAATTCTGAATGTGTAGCACCAAATGTTTGTCAATGTAAAGATGGATACCATAATGAGACGAACTTATGCCTACCAAAATGTACTAAAGAGTGTGGCGAATTTGCTCAATGCATTGATGTGAACAAATGTGAATGTAAAGATGGTTATACATATGAAAATGATCAATGTCGACCAATTTGCAAGAATGATTGCGGTGAAAATGCTTACTGTAGAGAACCCGATATTTGTGAGTGCTCACCAGGATACACCAATCATTCGGGAATTTGTCAACCTGTTTGTGTAAATGAATGCGCTGAGAATGCAAAGTGTATGGCACCGAATCTTTGTGATTGCAATAAGGGCTATCGGAGTATGGACGATAAGTGTGTTCCGGTTTGTTCAAAAGAATGCCCGATAAATTCAGAATGCAAGCAACCTGAGAACTGTATTTGTAATGCTGGATATGTGTATGAAACCGATCAATGTCGACCAATTTGCAAGAATGATTGCGGTGAAAATGCTTACTGTAGAGAACCCGATATTTGTGAGTGCTCACCAGGATACGCCAATTATTCGGGAATTTGTAAACCTGTTTGTGTAGATGAATGTGCTGAGAATGCAAAGTGTGTGGCACCGAATCTTTGTGATTGCAATAAGGGCTATCAGAGTATGGACGATAAGTGTGTTCCGGTTTGTTCAAAAGAATGCCCGATAAATTCAGAATGCAAGCAACCTGAAAACTGTATTTGTAATGCTGGATATATGTATGAAACCGGTCAATGTTGGCCAATTTGTGAAAAAGATTGTGGTGAAAATGCTTACTGTAGAGCACCAGGTATTTGTGAGTGTTCCCTAGGATACGCCAATCATTCGAGAATTTGTGAACCTGTTTGTGTAGATAAATGTGCTGAGAATGCAAAATGTGTGGCACCGAATCTTTGTGGTTGTAATGAGGGCTATCGGAGTGTGGACGATAAGTGTGTTCCGGCTTGTTCAGAAGATTGTCCCACAAATTCAGAATGTAAACAACCTGAGCTCTGTGTTTGTAGTGCTGGATATACAATGTCGAATAATATATGTGAGCCTGTCTGTGATAAGGTTTGTGGTCTAAATGCTATATGTACTGAAACTGACAAGTGTAGTTGCTCTCCTGGTTATGCCAATGTATCAAATACCTGTCAACCAATTTGTTCCGATAATTGTACGGAGAATGCAAAGTGCTTGACACCGGAAAAATGCGTCTGCGATTCTGGTTACATAATGATAAATAATGTATGTAAACCAATATGTGATGGCGGATGTCCTCAAAAAGCTTATTGCTCTAAACCAGGTATGTGTAGCTGTGTTGAAAATTATCAAAATATTGATGGAATATGTAAACCGCACTGCGCAAAAGAATGTCCCGTGTTCAGTTTTTGTGCAGCACCTAATCATTGCGAGTGCATCGATGGATATAAGTTAAAAAATAAAAGTTGTCAGCCAATTTGTAATGAACTTTGTGACCAAAAACATTCAATTTGTATTGCTCCTAACACTTGTGGTTGTATCCAAGGATATGAATTAAATAAAGAAACAAATTCATGTGAAGATACGTTATATAAAAGTAGGCAGAAAGGATGTCAGCTACATTTAATTATTACAAAATGGTATGTGCCATGTGAAAATGCCTTAGTCTTGGGTTCCATATTCTATGGACTTTTATTTGCGATGTTACTAATTTGTGTAATAATAATTTATATAATATGTAAGAAAACTTTTCAAAAACAAATGTTGACGGAAACAACTTATCCGAATTTCATTATCACCTATCAGCCAACAATGAATGCTAATGAAAATCGTTCTATATCTATGGAATGTTTATCATCTGATCTGCCACCTCCTTATACACCAATGAAACGAAACGCGTTTGGTTCTTAATATATTAAAAAAATTTTAATAATTACTATTTTGTTTATAATACAATGAATTGTAGTAATAAGAAATTATGTTTATTTATAAGAAATTATAATATAATGAATTGTAATAATAAGAAATTATATTTATTTCAATTTTTTTTATAATTTTAATTTATTATAATGTAATTATTTAAAATATATACAATTTTTACCTTTTTTATACAATTAATTTTTTTTTAAGACATTGACAGTGAAGGAATTAGGTATATATATTGTATGGTATACTTAGTATGAAACTTTAAGACGAATCAGTTTCATATCATTTGAATATAAAATTATTTCTAATTGTTGATAATTTTTCAACAAAAAATTTTTTTCTATTGTAATACATGTTCCAATTAAAGTTTTCAATATGAGTTTTTTTGATTTTGAGTTGAGCATTTAAGAATATTCAAATTTCTCTCTCTCTCTCTTTCTCTCAAATAAAAGTAGCTTCGGTATCCGTATAATAATGCGGAAACAGGGATTTATTCTATAACTGATGTAACGAGATGATTTCAACAGATGATTAATTATACACTCTTCATCAATACCGAACGTACCATATAGGCATTTCTACTTCTACTCTATTGAATGGGCAAGTAATCCACATTCGTAGATGTGGAGATGACTGATGGACTGCCATTTTGGGTTTATAGGTAACTTAATAGTCACTTGGGAATACTTGTGTCTCTAGCCAAGAGAGTATATCTAAATTTAAAAATATTTGATTCAATCTAAATTTGGAAAACTAGCATTTTCCACTACAGGAACGTGGTTAAAATTGTGCCAAGGTGAATAAATTGAAAAATACTTTTTTGTACAGTTCTCTAAACTTTTATATTATATATAATATTGCTTCCCTTTGAATATGCCACTGATCATTAAACTAATCTTTTTTATTCCAAAAAAAAAATAGTTCTAGTATTCCAGACTATAGTTGACAGTAGTGGTCTATCAGTACCACCTACTAATACATGACAAATAAGGACATCAAACTAAGCCTTTTTCCAAAAAAAAAATGTAAAATAGTTCTAGTATTCCTGACTATAGTTGACAGTAGTGGTCTATCAGTACCACCTACTAATAAATGAGAAATTATGACTTTAGGTATAAATAATGCACACTGAACATCAAACTAATCCTTTTTCCCAAGAAAAAAAATGTAAAATAGTTCTAGTATTCCAGACTATAGTTGACAGTAGTGGTCTATCAGTACCACCTACTAATACTTGACAAATCAGGACTTTAGTTGTAAATAATACTCTACTTTAATGTTTAAAAAATAATTGCCAATTACCAACTTTAAATAGTTTTTAATGTTTGTTTATAATCGGATATATGCACTATTGTCTGTATCGGCATTTATGTTAAACGGCACCAAACTCATTGATTTATTACAGCGACCACAACGCGTGCTTACGCAGCTCAGCGCTGTGCGCTACCCATTCTACGCACAAATGCTTATCTACGCATAATTAACAGCAACTGAAATGCATGCATTCTGCGTGCAGCAAGCCCTTAACTTTTTAAAACTAAGCAAACAATTCATTATTTATGCTAATTTCATTTAAAATTTTGTATGTAAAATATTTATGTTAGTGCGGTTTTGGAGCGAGAAGATGGGTTGAGAGCTCGTCTAAATTATGCACATTACCAGATACGCGTACATTTCAAAAACGTGCTGAGTGGTGAACACTCGCATTTTGTGGCATACCAATTTGTGCCACAGCAGTTCCAATTTGTTAGACGACAAGCCTCTGTCAAACAAATATACTTCAAACCAAAAAAAAAAAACAAAAATAAAAAAATGGTTTTATGTAAATAAGCAGCAAATACCTGCAGTTTAAACAAATTAATTCAATTATTTTACGATGCGGAAAACAATTATGCATGTGTTAAGTACAAAACCAAACTATTATATCCATACGAAGTAGATATCTCTGGGTACAAGCCTAAATAGCATCCATAAAAGCAAGAGGAAAACACAGAAATAAATTATTAGGGCAAGGCGCATTGTGAGTGTATATTTGTTTTTGTATTTCTGGAACTATACTATAGTTGGCTTGACTTATTTGTTTAATGGTCTGTTGATTTTGTACTTTAATACGTTTTTATGGAAATTCTTTTTTTTTCTTAAGGTAAATTCATTCAAGTTTATTAGTATTAAACATTGTAGAACTGGGGTCTAAAAGGTTGAGGTTGAAGATTTAAAATTACAACTTGACTAACACTTTTTGAAGTTAAACTGATTTTATAGTTGTACCAGATATGTGATAGCCGTATCAATTCCATATTCCTCGTAATTGTGAATAGAACAAAGTATATATTCAAACTAGCTAGACGCATTGATAAATGCAAGTATTTGGCCAATACTAAGACCTAATGCTTAAGCCTGGTTCTAAACAAGCCTGGATATAGACACAACAGATGCTATATGACTTAACCGTTGTTTAAGTAACTAAAATAGAAAATAGAACAAAACCTCCTCAGTCAGCTAAGAAAACCGTTCCCATTCCATATTCCTCGTAATTGTGAATAGAACAAAGTATATATTCAAACTAGCTAGAGGCATTGATAAATGCAAGTATCTGGCCAATACTAAGACCTAAGGCTTAAGCCTGGTTCTGAACAAGACTGAACATAGACACAAACGATGCTTTGGTATTTTTTCATCGAGCGTCGGTAGACATGCAGTACAAGGGATTCGATAGAGCAGACCGACCATGGCTCTATGCCATTCTCTAGCCTAGTATCTCTTTATAACAGATATTAACCTTGATTCTTCCGATTATTACTAGGTTGCGTGAGAAATTTCCCAATGATTTTGCCAGCTTGCCATATCATTGAACATTTTTTGTGAATTCACGAAAAGTGTTGTGTTTATCCAAACAATAATTTAACTGCCTATGCTTTGAAATCGAACACATCCGTAAAATTATAGCCTACTATAAATTAGAAACATACATATATTACTCTATAATAGTAATACTAGTAGTTTTATTATTTTTGTTATTATTTTTTATTAATTTTTTTTTTAATTTTTTTATTCTTTTATATTATTTATTATTTTATTAGTTTTATTATTTAAAATATATAACAATATATATAGAGCTTACAATAGCAATTCTGCCAACTGCCGGCCGGCCTATTGTCGGCTATGTGCCAACGAGTCATCAAAAATAAGCCATCTTGTATTTCTTAATTGCATTCAATTTAAAAAATCCAATATTCACCACAATCAAACCTACCAGATTGCATTGTTCGATGGTTTTTTCAATAGGCAACAGCAATGCCTACACTAAAATTTCCAATCAGAAAAATTTTACAGTAGCCAATTACACCACGTTCCTTAATGAGTTTATAAGATAACTTCGTGACCCACGTTATTGACTGCGGCCGCAATTAACCTCTGCAATACGCTACACAATAATAAAATTCGCAAAAACATTGCAAAACAAAAACAACAATAACAACACATTTTGCGAGCAACAACAATAAAATTTTTGTAAATCAAAAAAGTTCCCGCTGTTTCACTTGCCTCTTTAAATACTTTAACATTTTTATGCGATTGGAGTGGTGTAGCTACGCTGTTGCTGCTGCTGTTACCTCCTCTCTTGATCTTACAAGACATAATTGTAATTTTTTTTTATCATTTTATTATTTTGTTTTAAATAAGAAAAATACGTTAACTTACACATAATTTATTTTTGCATATTTACGTATATACATTAAGACCGAAAAGTTTTCGGAAATTCTCATTTAAAATTCGCGCGCTGTATATTTTTCGATATTTTAAGTTTATGTAGTTTGGCAGCACTGTCCTTAATTACTATGCCAAAAATGAGCGCGATCTGTCAGACAGTTCGTTTTCGGCAGCTGTTGAAACCAGTTCACCTCAGTAGTGCGTTGCGAAAAAAACAATGGAAAAAAATATTGAACAAAGAGTTTGCATCAAATTTTGTGTTTCGAACGAATTTCGTGTGCAGAATCGTTGCGAATGCTACAAAAGGCTTATGGGGAATCAGTTTTATCGAAAACTCAAGTTTATGAGTGGTACAAAGCCTTTCAGGACGGTCGTACGACCGTCGAAGACATTTCGCAACGCACTACTGAGGTGAACTGGTTTCAACAGCTGCCGTAAACGAACTGTCTGACAGATCGCGCTCATTTTTGGCATAGTAATTAAGGACAGTGCTGCCAAACTACATAAACTTAAAATATCGAAAAATATACAGCGCGCGAATTTTAAATGAGAATTTCCGAAAACTTTTCAGTCTTAATGTATTTAACATACTTTCATAGTTTTAAAAGTTCAACTAAAAATGAGTTACCTTATTTTTATTTTTATCTCCTTCCAACCCACTTATTTAGATATCCTGCCGAAGTTATTTCAGTGGACACATCGGGCAAACGTTTTCAACGTATGTGCATGGCGCGCAAGTCTACAACCGGTGTCTTTACCAATTTGACCGACACGAATAACTTAAATGACGACGTTCAAACAGTGAGCCGTCGTTCACGTTCACGTAAGGTGCGCGGCAAACGACGAAACACAATCGCTGGTATTGATCAAAAGGAAATACAAGATGCGGCAAATGGGTATGTTACAAAGGCTACAAAAGCACTGCCTATAAACTTTATTACGTATAACATTAGCAATAATGATAATAATAATAACAATAATGATGATGCTGTTAGCGACCGGAATGTTGATCATTCAAACTTACTGCTGTTATTATTTTTATTTTCATACAAATATGATTTCATTTTAGCGGCACAATTATTATTATTATTATTGTTATTGTGTTTATTTATTTATTCATTTTTTTTTTGTACAAAAGCAAAAAAAAAACATATACTCATTTAAAGTATATTATGAATGTAGTAAACTATAATCAAATTATTAGTTGAGAAGTGTATAAAAAAGAATAAAATTTACATAGAGTATAAAAGCATATTATATATAACTGCATTACATTATATACTTCATTTAGTATACCAAAAGAATAAAATATGTATAAAGATATTTAATGAAATTATTGTGATTTTAATATAATTTGTTATGCTGTTTATAATTTGTTTATAATTATTTTGTTTTTTTTTTTTTTTGTTAATTTTTAATTAGTATTTATGTCTATATTTCTTGCAAATAAATATGTTCGATGTTGTGTTATAAAATATCAAAATTATATTTAATTTTGCAAATATTTTAAATTTTGCTTAATGCCATTAAATAATTAAGCACAGCATGTTTAAATTAAAAACTAAAACAAAAATTTAATAAAAGAAAATTAATTTTTTATTTTATTTTTTTGATTGAAATGTAAATAATTTGTTTGCTCTTTTTCATGCAAATATTTAAGTTTAGTATATTTACAAATAAACAATTTTTAATTAACAAAAATGATTTAAAATTAGTACAAATAAAATTTAACATCTGTAACCAAATAACAGCCTAACAAATTGTACAAACCAAAAAAAAAGAGAAAAAAATAATTATAATAAATTGTAAATAGTTCCAAAAACAAAAAAAAACATAATTCGAAAATCTGCAGTCATTCATTTTCATATATTAGCGCAAACCAACAAACAGGAACCAAAACACCTACGCCATAACAATAAAAAAAAAGAAACAGTCACACAATTGACATAAAAATATTTCCATAAACATCAAAATTCATAAAAAAAGATTTTTTTTTTCAAATACATAAATATAATTTTTCATTTTTATTTTAACCAAACTAAAAAATTTAAAAATTTACACATAACTCTCCAAAAAAGTTTTCAGTATTACATCAGTGTAACTGTTCAGTTTTCTATACATGTCTTTAGATTTTCACCTCCACCTCACCAAGCCTCCATACATATCATGCCAACATACAGTTGCATACTTTCCTGGTCGAATTCACTGCAATTCATTAAATTTGGTTGACAGTTTTGTTATTGAATTGAACCAAATCGCTGCATCATAACTCTTCTCCCCACCACTTCTCACACTAGCAAAACTGAAAGATGTTTTCCTAGACCGTCCGTTCCATTTATTTCAATTCAATGAATTTATGACTTGTAATTCAATACCGAGCAAGTTCCAATTACACAAAATTGTTGCCGCGGCATGTTTTATTTAATAGATCTTGCAAAATATTCTCTGCTTCTCTGCGTGTTAAATTTGCATAAAAAGATTTAAAGTTTAAAAAAAGATTTTTTTAGTAAATATACAAATTTCATATAAAATTTTTAGTTATTTTAATTTATACCATTATTGAAACCCAGTAGGAATAGTAAATAATTGACTAAGTTGTATTCTACGAATACTCCTAAGGAACAAATCATTAGAGGCTTTTAACTCATATACAGCTAAAGGTTGACCTTAAAAAGTCGTTTTTGTAATTATTATTGTTAAAGTTATTATTGTTATATAAAAGTATTAAACATATCAGTTTACTTTAACACTCTACGTCAATAAAATTTTACTCTTAACACCGTTCAAACCATGGTTATATAAAAGTATTTCTCAGCCAAATAAAACTGACATATTGCATTATGATTTTTGATTGGCAAATCTAAATTAACTCTTGAACTACCATTTTCTGATCATATTTAGGATAATCCCAACATTATTTGAAAGCTGCCGAATAGATAAAGGAGGTCAATGAACACTATTTTTCAACTTAGCACTCAGCTTAACATTATAAAAATTAATAAACTACTTAACATATGTTTGTGAATGCTACCGATTTGCATTTGGTCTTCGATTACGAATGGTAATACAGACAGTCTCTCAGTTAGTACATCCTACTAAATAAATTTTAATTTAAGTGTAACAGGCTTCTAGTGAACTCTAATAATTATGTTCAAATAATTTGCTACTCACCTAAAATTCGAATACTGCAATATGGCAACTCCCTTTCTACGTTTTATGTGGAACAACTATTCGGCAACAATGAAAGGACTCTAGTGTCTTTTGCTTTTAAAAATGTTAACCTCAATTGTGAAACTTCGACTAATAACTGATTTTTATGCTTTTTTCCTTAAGTTTGGAATAAAAATGAAAATAAAAGATTGTATTTTTCTCTACTCAAGCACTTAAGAGCTGCATTGTTTCCACTGTTTTCCATTTTCACTGCAAGATATTTTCTACTTCTGTTTAAAGTGTACGTACAGCCCCCTTAACGTCACGCCTCTTCATAGTTATATATGTTCGTATTAATACTAAAAATGATTGATTGTGCATAAATATTGTAAGTTAATGTTGTGATTTATTTAAAACCCGAAACTAAAACCAAACTTTCTCTCCATGTATTAACAAAAGTTAACCCAATTTTACGCCCTTTTCCCGAAAAAACAATTCATTATAAACAAATTTGTTTATATTATTCCAAAATGAATCAAGCATGGAAAGCAGATTAATGAGTGCATTTCCGCAGACCTATCGGAACAATTGATTGATTTTAATTATTACGTTATCGAAAAAACCAAAATAACAAAAATATTTATATTTAGTAGTATTTGTTGTGATTGAATGGAAATTGAATTAAAATTAAATTGTTCATAAAAAATATTACAAAAATATTTAAAATTAAAATAAAAATACTTTAAAAAAATGATGAACTCTTTAAACTTTATTAATTAATTTACAAATCAAATCAGTTTTTTTTATGTATTTTTTATGCATTTAACTTCCTCCATCCATTGATATGCAACAAATTTCCAGTTAAGTATGCAACTTAAGTGGTATTAATAATGAACAATAAACAAATAGCACTCAAACCAAAATAAAACAATAAAATATATGAAAAAATATTAAAATCACAATAATTTGTGGGCTCTTACTTTATAGTTGAAAACTTTGGACAGCTACATTCGGAGCTACTGAAATCTTTATCAGCCCAAAAACCAAACTAAACTAGACATCATTCATTAAATTCATTTATCATTTTTTTTCATTTATTTTAAACTGATTTAAAATTAATTAAAAATGCTAACAAAAATCAAACAATTTATTTTCTTTTCTTTTTTCACACACACACACAACAACAACAAACACACACATACATACCAACATTTTTACATACATACAAACATACAAACCATGCATTCGATTAAAAACATAAAAATTATTCCAATATAGCGATGCAACTGCAACCAGCGGTGAACTTAAGAACACCACAAATGCCGGCATTGTCGCCGCCACTGGTACTGCAGCCGCCGCAGCCGTCATTGATGAAGATGCCAACAGCAGACGTAGTGAAAAATCCAAGAAATTTGGACGCAGCAAATCGAGCGATATCTTAAAAAAAGAATCTGTTGCCTTGCCATATGACAAAGGGAAGAGCACATTGACACGTCTTAATTCATTGAAGCAATGGGGCCGTAATCGGTTTAAATTTATGCAACGTAACGAGAGTGCAACGTTGACACTGAATGCCAGCAACAATAGCAGCAATGGTCCAGACAATGGCAATTCCATTACACAAAGTAGTGCCGCCAATGAAAAGGCGGAACTGAAAACGAATTGCAACAATAGCAGCGGTAGTGGCAGCAGTGGTTCATCATACAAAACCTCTTCGCATACTGCAGATAGTGGCAATATCGATGATGAATGTGTGGTGCACGAATTGATAAGCCAAAAGAACGAAGGTCGGTTTTCGCACGAACGAAAACCCTCATATTCGTCGTCTGAGAAGAGCATGAGCGTTAGCAGCAGTGGACATCTCAGGGGTAAGTTACATTTGGCCACCTGTGGCAATGTCAAGTTGCGCGATACGTCATCGTTGAATCGTCAACGTCGCAATGGTATCACAGCGAATGGTTTATGCGGTAAAGATGAACAGCCGCATTCTTCGAGTGGCAATTGGAGTGCTAGTTCGGAATCGGGACGTGCTTCAATCGGCAGCGAAATAACAATACAACCAAAATCCAGCGCTTCAAATACTTCACTGAATGTCTCTAGTTTTCATCCGGGTAGTGGACCGCCATCATCTATGTTGAGTCGGCGCCGTTTTCTAAATACATCTGCTTCGAGTAGTGTAACAAGTGAGGGTACAGCAACACCAGACTTACAGGTAACAGATGGTACGTATCCTAATCATTTGGATGATGAGACAAGTTCTGCATATTCCTGCGACACAGAAGGTTATTATACATCTTTTCATATGGATAGCGGTTTACGTACGCTAAAAGAAGAAGAAACACTAATTACACCTATACAAAGTGGTCACAATTTACATACAAACAATTATTCTTTCGGTAGTCAAGCCAATCAAACGGTACTTAGTGCAGAAAATGAATATGAGCTCTTTGGCAGAGGTTCCACTTCGACGACAACAAGCTCTGCTGGCACCGTTTGCACCACACTTATGATGAATGGTGAGCAGAGTAGTTTAAATGGACTTGGACCAGATGTGCCTGAACGCATAAGTTCTTTGGGTAAGTTAAATAAGAGCAATCACAGCAACAGCGCTAGTACCAGCACATTAGAGCGCAGCTACTCCAGTAGCACAATTGGTAGCACTTTAGAACGTACTGGTACCATCAAACGTAATGTTAATGCCAATCTTAAAATATCACCGATTGATGGTTCCGACGTCACCGATAAGTCCACTGAAACACCAGAATCTCAAGATGATGAATTCAATTTTGAGCAGCGCATACGAAAACGCACTGCACAGCCACTGCCGGCAGCTATAATTTCAGAAATAGAATGTTCCGAAAGCTCGGATTTAGAGGGTGTGGAACGTATTGAACGCATTAAACAAAAGACTGCTATAAACGCCAAGCGTATACCATCTATGTGTGTCATAACGCCAACCACTAGTGATGATGAGAACCAAGCTAAGGACAATGGTTTCGATCCAAATAAAACTTTAACAAACGAAAGCTCTCCTTGTGAGAAAGCTGCAGTAAAAGCTGAAGCTTTACTAGAATTAAAAATTAACGAAGCTGAATACTCTACAGTTGATGAGTTGCAAGCTGACAAAACACCACAACTAACACCCACTGGCGTTGCCAACAAGGATTACAACTTAAATGTACTCAAACGTAGTTCCAACTATGGTTTCAATAATATGCTTGAAAAGCTGAAAGTTGTATTGCCAAACATAAAGCGTTCGCCTAGCAAAAGCTCGTCAAGCTCAGCCCACGCTGTAGTGGACGATGATGAATTGTACGACACAGCCGGTGAGTATGTTACCATAGCAGATATAAGCAATAACAATCGTCGCAATCAGTTGCAAGCACCGAAGTCAGTGGGCACAAGCAGTCTTGGAATTTACTATTCCAATGACATATATAGGCGCAAAAACAGCGCCGACAGCACTAACAGTGTCGTCACGAAGGGTAACGAACCCGACACGCCAAAACGAGAGACAGAATACGTTTCATTGAATGAGCTGCCGTATCATTTGCGTAAAATTAATAGTGACAGTGCAGCAACGGCGGCGGCACTGAGTGCAACTTATGGCACTAACAATGAAACCCACACTTCCAATATGAAATTCATCGACTGCGCAGAATCCAAACAACAACAACAACAACTGCAACAGCAGCAGCAGCAACAATGGCAACGAAAACAAAGCGAAAGCACAAATGTGGTCCCGATGTATGCGGAAATTAGCGAGCTTACAGAAAAGTCATCGCACAGTTCACCCTTGGCACAGCATAAGGGAGCGCGTGTACGGGTAAATGCACAAGGAAAAATTATTTACGATTCCGACAGTTTGAAACGACGCAAAGGCGCGCACACAACATTCGCACCTGGTCCGTATGTAAAAGAAACTGAAAGTGCGCTTAACGAAAACGCAGTAGAAAGTATAACGGCAACGAAATCGCAACAACAACAGCAACAAATCGGTAATAGTGAAAGTGCGAATTGCATAGTGCCAAGAAGCGCAGCCACAAGTGCAGCTAAATTACTTTTCTTGAATGGTGGCATCGCTGCCAACAGAAAAGTGGCCAATGTGCGTCCGATAGTATCAACATCGCCATTGTCACAACAAACCCAACGTCTACAGCAACAGCAACAACAACAGCAACAATCATTCAACATGCCTATTACAACATATATGGACCAACAACCACAACAACAACACGAACCTCTTTCCTACAATTCCTATCAAGAAAACAAAAATCTATTAGCTAATCACACAAATCCCTTTTTCCAATCCACAATGATGCCCTCACCATCAACCAAATCCACCTCCTCGACTGGTTCCACCATATCAACATCGACGAACACAAGTGGCTCAACTGCATCCACTGCTTCATCATCAACATCCTCTTCGACGGCGAAAGAAGAAGGTAAGCAATATTTGGTAGATTTGTTAAAAATTAGAAATTATGACGCTAATATAAATTTTAATGCTAATAACGATCCTAATTTGAATGTAAATAACACTTTTGATATACACAAAATAATTGAAACAAAAACAGAAAATGACACTACAACAACACATACCAATAATAATTTAAATATTAACAATAATAATAATAATAATAATAATAATAATAAAAACAATAATAATAATATATTACATACAAACTTTAATGGTAACTTAATTAAAAATTTCAAATCCACTTCGAGACCCACCACCCCCCCAACTCCAATTAGAACACAAAAAAAATCAGTGAGAGTTACTTATAGTGTACAGCAAGGAAGCGAAGAGACGACGGCGATGGCGATGACGGTGGTAGGAATAAAAGAAAAAATTTCAAGTCAAAATGCACACCAAAACTTAAAATCGACAAGGGTTGAAAATCATGAATCAGCAACAACAACAACAACAACAGCAGCAACAGCATCCCCACTACCCATACGTCAACCCCATTCCGCTGTCAATTTCAAATTACAGTCCCCACCTCCTCCACCTTTACCGCCGAGGGGACGAATAAATGTGTCGGCACAAGCAAAAACAATGGCTTTAGCAGATGCTGCCCCGAGTGCATATGCACCGCTTGCTGAAAGCGATAACTCCGCTCGTAAAGGCTGTGTCGGTAGCCATGGAGAAAGTGGAAGCAATGCGAACTGTAGTTGTTCTTGTTGCAATGTAGAAAAATCGATTTGCACAACTGTTGACCCAATTGTCGGTACGGCAACAAACAGTATATGCACTGCAATAACAACATCCCCACTGTCAAACTCAGATATGCATGTTGTTACATCAGCCCCCAAAACTAGTCGTCCCTTGAAACGCAATAACAGTTATAGGCTAGCAAATGACGACTTAAAATTAGAAATGAACAAAGAAAACTGTTTGATATACGCTGATTCCAGAGATGCTGCTGGTGGCAATACGACTTTATTGCCAATTAATAGCACTTTCAATTCCAAGACCTTGCCACACGTTTCCACTTCGTTGAAAGTGAAAAATTTAATTAATACACACAACCATACCAATACCAGCAATGGTAACAACAATAACAACGCCAACAGCAGCAACAGTACTACCATTACTAGTAGCATTATAGATGCTAGTACACCCAAATCCACAAATCAACGCATGATTGCAAAATCTTTCGAACGTTTGGTTGATGAATTCTCTTTGTCAACCACTTCCATGTCAATGGATTCCTCATATTTGCGTAATAAGTCACTTGAGAATTTTGATGATTCTCCTACCCTATTAAATGGTACTGTTGATGCTAGTACTGACAGTACATCCAGTACGCTAAATAAAACCGATAAAATAAATGCTGATGATTCCGATAGTGATTCAGACCTAGAATTAACCCCACAATCTAGTAATGCTATTGGACATAAATATCATAAGTCCTTTGTTGAAAATGTGCTATTAAAACCATTTAAAATAATTTTGCCCAATGAGGATAACGGTGCCAGGCGTCAAAAAATATTACAGAAATTCGAAGTTACCGAAATTTGGTAACTTGAGAGCCCCAAAACTTAAATCCTTCAAAAATATAACATAAAATATAGGTTTTAGTTTTTTATAAAGAAATAAATATTATATTTTAAATATTTTTTTAAATATTTTATATTTTAAAATGTTATTATTTTAATATATTATTAATATTATTTTATTATAGATTTTACATATTTAGGTTAATATGTAAACTTTTTTTAGTTTTTAATTTCCAGATCCTCACATAAGATTCTTACATTCAAAATATTTTATGGGAAGACTTACAGAGAAATTTTTTTTTAATTGTACTTTTTTCCAACAGTAATATTTCAACATTTAAAGAAGAGAGCTTTCTTTATTGTGTTTTTATTGCATCTTATAGTATAATCAGGTTATATGTTATACTTCTTCGCAGATATTATAAATTTTCTCGTACATTTATTAATCCATTGATTGATACTTTACTTTCCTTAATTTACTGTGAATTTTGTCCTATATTTTTTAATCCAGTGATTATGACCTTGTGTATCATCAATTCTTCAGTTTTTTTCACCACTTTGTATATTAAAGAAAACAAACTGCAATTGACTGGAACACTACCTAGATTTAGTCTAGTATCTAAAAATCTTATCCACTTTCTTATAATGTTATATAGGTTTTCTTTTTTTTTGTTAAGGTGAAATTAAAATCGTAATATATCCAACTATTCGATTAATTCTACTGTTTATGTTTAGTATTGATTAGTGCTGTAAAGTAACACATGCTTATTTAAGGGGTTCCAACCGCTTATCTACTCTGATGGTCTTACGAAAATACGAATGACAGCTAATGATTGAACACAAAATGTATGATATTATGCTCGAATATTTTTAAGCGGCTCGTATTTGAGCTTTTGTGCTTGATCGGCCCGTGCTTGAACAGTTGATCGGTTCGTTCTTAATCGACTTGTGCTTGAGCAACTGTTGCTTTACCGATTTGTGCTTGAACCAAATGCTCACAACATTTACTCGAATATCAAAATGCTCGATGCTATTAACAGTTTGAACGATATTGGAAGCTATAATATTAATGAATATGCCCAACTTGCTTTTTCGGTCGATCATATGTGTATCTGAAAATATAAAGCTAAATAAATTAATATATTATATTATAATAATATATAAAATATAAGGAAATTTTTTTTTTTATTTTAGATTATGATTATTCTTAATAAAAATAGAAACAAATACCTGTCATCACAGCTCAAAACAAATTAGCTTGATTTATATTTTCTATTGGAAAGTAAAATATAAAAGACCTTTTCAATAGTTCCCAATGATTTTCAATCATTAATTGTTTTTCTTAGCAATTAAAATTACCTCATTTTCTTTTTATACATTTTATACCTTTTAATAAATTTTTTATTCTACATCCTTCTGTCAGGCCATAAAAATTTCGAGCATAAAGCATAATCATTTGCAACATCTCAAGCAGGAGATGCTTATCCTTCATAGATTTGCTGAAGTGTATGTCTAAACTTGACCTTTCGGCTCGACTGACTGGTAACATTTACCATATAAAATTGAAAGAAAAAAAAATCTCTTCACCCTTTTTGCTTTTTGAT